ATTCAGGGAACGGCTGTGTTCTACGTATCTGTATTCCAATATATCACGCTAGTTGTTGTTTACTCGAAAGGACCTCCTTATAGAAACACGCTGTTCAGCAATCGACCATTTTGTGCCTCCATTGCGTTTGCAACCTTGGTCAGTGCTCTTTGTCTTCATTCAAGGGATTGCTAGCATAGTATATAACACGTTCCGGACCGCGTGACACACATGGTTTGTCACGCATTTGTTTCGCTGCGGTGTAACTTAATTTGGCTTTTCTTTCGTGTTCTAACGTTGCCAAAAAACTTTTTCTGGTTCCGGGAAATACATACCTCTTGAGCGATCGAAAAAAAGGAGGAAATCACTGTTGAATTATTGGTCAAAATTGATGAAGTGATGACGCAGCGTGCGCGCAGTACGGTGGTTCGCAATGTGTTAAGCATGCCTACTTGGTTTGAGCAGAGTTCACTCGTTTTTGACTAAAAGTGCAGATTTTAGGATTTTTAATTCAGAAACTCAATGAAAAAAGTATCTTTGCTTGCTTGGTTCGCGTCTGAAATGCGAGCAAAAAGTTTTGATGCAAATTTCAGCCTTTGAGAGCCCACCGGCGTCTCTGAGTGCCAAAGGTTCGCATTTGAATAAAAAATTCTTACGCTCAACAAAAGTCTTATACAGTCTTATGGCTGCGGAGAAAGGAGCGTGTCAAATATGATGGGTTAGCGCGGCGTCAAACCCGTTCTTCACCAGTTATTGAAGCTGGTATGAGACGAACAATCAACGGAATCGACTGATACGAACGATATCATACAATCTCGTCGCTTGCCCGCTTCAAGAACTGGTGGAGAAGATGTTTGGTGCCGCGCCAAACCCATCTCGCCTGACACGCCCCTTCATCCGCAGCGAACAAGACTGTATTAGTTCTATGATAGCAAAAACGTGGCTGTAATTTAATCCCATCGATCAATAAATCATTAATGATTGGGGACGAAGAAGGTATTCATGTGTTTATTCCAGTCTTAGGGCTATAAGAATAGTTAAACCGAGGAGTTCATGCTTCCATAAACCGCTCTCATCTGCTGTGCATGTTCAACTTTTCAGTTATCTCTGCTCATTATTCTTTGGTCTCCGCCATGGCTACTCGATTTCATGGGCAACATGGATTTACCATCAGCTGAGTTCCGATGTCTTCTAGTGCTCTACGCCAGCATCAATGCTATCGTCTCGTTCCTCTACGAAAAAGTTTTTGTGGAGCGATTTCTACTCGATTATATGGAAAGGTTGGCACGATTCCCCTTTTCTTCATTGTGTTCTCGTGTCGGTCGCGTCCATGTTTCGAGCGACTAGTAAAGTATAGATATAGATCTAGCGTTCTGTGCGTACGGCAACGTTTTCAGCGACTATCCGCGACAAGTTCTAATTTATGCGCGGAACACTCTCAATACGCTAGATTGATTTCCATACTTTCCTAGTCGTTCAAAACGCTGACGCGAAGTATGAACACTACTTACCCCTACCATGTAGCGTGACTTTTGTGTTTCTGTACGTTCGCATATGCTTCACCATTTTTTTTTGTAGAACAATAGGAAACCTTTCATATGTTAAAGTATGACATGCTCTCGCATTTAGGCAGGCAAAACGCCGTCGAGTTGAGGCTGACTATCCCGATGAGCTGCACTCGAGCGCCAGCGGCCCGCTTTATGAGCGGATTTTGTCTCGAATTGGAGCCGAACCATCTTGGCTAATGCCACGTTTAGGTAAATCCAGTTGAGCAGAGCAACAGCAATATGGTCTTCGTTGGGTGTACTCAGAGAGGATTATAATCCTCAGTTTCCCCTGGTCACACTTGCAGGAGTAATACCTTTGTACTTCGCTGGTATTTCTGTGGAGAATTTCTGCTCTTCTTGTTTGTTTGTTGTTTTTTTTTTGTTGAAAGAGTGCGTTACAGGTTCCATCTATACTTCTTCTTTCCCATAACTCCGAATTTTTTGAGAACCAAGTGCCCGCATTTGGCTATTCCAGTTTTCTTTTTTTTCTTGTATTTAACTCTCGTTTTGACTGAACCGTTGTTCATGTTCAGAGAAGATTTATATGAGCAAATTCATTGTCATAACGTTTTCCATGTTGTACTTTATCTCCTTTTTCCCTTTGATGTTCTTTTGTTCTACTGAAAATATTAGGTCTTGTTATTGTTGAAATTTCGTTCTGTTAATTAACTGCAGTTACATAGCAGTTCACATCTTTCCTTCAGCTTTCCATGGGCTTTAATAGCGGAGTCCCCCTCCCCCTCATGACTCAACATGTGCCTTTGCTCTCTTCCTCAGCTCTCCTCTCGCTCTCATTTACACAGGGCCAATTCTGTTTCTTATGTATTTATGCGTTTATGTTACTCGGTTGATTGTTGCTGAGCATTTGATCCCATTGAATTGTTGCTTTTATTGAGTCCCATGACAGATTCATAGTCGTCGATTCCCCGGTGACTCCAGCAATGCATTATATTCGCAATAGGAATACTATGTTTTGTTAACTTTCTGACATATAGTCATTCATTTGAAGTGTAACCCATTTCATCATCAATGTCAGTTGATGAGGATTTGTTCGTTCAGTCACAGATTCGCTTGAATCAGGATCGATTCCAGGAGTTAGATTGGTTGTTTGATACTTTTGCTGTGTTCATACTTTGAGTCAGCGTTCTGAGCTACTCTAGCATTTTCAGCGACTAGGAAGGTATAAGTACCAATTTAGCGAACGCACACCAGCGTTTTCAGCGCGAAAAGTTCAAGACTGCTCTCAAAACGTCACAGGGATGCCTATACTTTCCGAACGCCTCGAAACGCTGCCTATGCTCGAACGCTGGCGCGAAGTATGACGGCACTCTCACACTCGACTGCTGGATAGCAGAATAGTTCGGGCAGTTTTCTGTTCTGATCTATATCGTTAGGATGCCAATAATTGATTGTGAAATAAATAGTTGTGTTGAATGGGAGTTTCATTTTAACGTATGTAGTATGAGTGAATCGAATATTCGCTGTTGGAAGACCTTTGCACGGTGACAACTCATACATTTATGTTCACTAGCCCGGGACGAAGAACAAGACAGAGTTTGTGTTGTAGGGCTGGAGCCGCTCCCACAAAGATTATCATTCGAATTTTGTTTGTAATTTGCAGAGCGGTTGTAAGCCCCGTATAAAAACAGAACCTCGAGCGAGGTCGGTCATTCTTGTATTCTCTTTCACTCTCTCTTCACATCTGAGTGTGTAACAACAATGTGAAACTCCAAAAGTTTATTCCAAAAGACTCAAAAGACAGTGAAAGTCTCAAAAGTTTGTTATAATATATCTTAAC